ATGCACCTAATTTCATAGGACCACGTATCTTCAATCATTCATCTGAGAATATTGAATCAAGCTTAACACTTAAAGTTTTCAAAACGCGCCTCAAAACATTTTTGGTGCAACATTCTTTTTATACTGTGCAAGATTTCTTGGATTGTCCGGTACAGTGATATTTTATTTTATTTTGTACTGTATTTCGTTTCTGTATATCTATGTATTGTGTGTTTTATGTATTTTTCAAAAATTTTGACGTTTCCGACACAATGTATTATTGTCTAAAGGAATAAAGATTTGATTGATTGATTGATTGATAGGCATTTTGTCACAGAAAAACTGACCTGATAATAATATTCTCCATGGTTTCAAATCCACATATGTGGATTTTCATAAGATGCCTTGAAGGGTTTCAGAAAAACAGACACATCTAAACAGCATTTTTGCCAACGTAATAATTATTTACTCGGAATCGGTGAGTTTATCATAAAAAAGTACTGGAGCCATTGAACGTTCCAAAATTCGTAGTTAGTAAGTATCCATGGTTTAGAGAAGGTCTGGGAAAAATGGACGTCGACAGGACGTGATTATCACGTTATAGGAAGTACGTCATAGTGACGTCATAAATTGGTGTGTGACGTCTCTGACGGAAAATCACCAATTAGGGACGTCACAGTGACGTGATCATTCGTCATCTGGTTGCCTGGAAAGATGATAATATGTTGAAAATTAATTTTTTTAATTAACAGTTGAATGTGAACCGATCAGAACAAACAAATCAAGGGCAAAATATAAATATTCAGAGAAGCTGTTCAAACTGTCCACCTTCCATCAATATACATAAATTCTGCACATTTTCTCATATTTGCAATTGCTCTTTCGATACTTCGTATTCTCGACTGTCTCAAGGATTCAATAATATTTTGCCAAAGATCATTGGTATTGACTGGCACAGTTCTATAAACTGTATGTTTCATTGTGTCCCATGAAAAGTAGTCCAAGGGTGATATTTCTGGAGAACGCGCTGGCCAACGTACATTACCACTATTCACAATAACCCTATTAGGGAACATTTCTGACAAATATTCTGTAACCCTTCTGGCATTATGCAGAAGCGCACCGTCTTGCTGAAACCATAGATCACGCAAGCGGTTGGGATTTATATTGTTATCCATATAATCTGTCAAAAAAGTCCCTATAAAATCAACATATCTCTCTGTGGTCAAATTTTCTTTATGAATTCATGGAACAATAATTGTTCCACCTAGTAAACCAACCCAAAAATTCAGTCCAAAGCTTATCTGAGGGCCCCTCTCTTGGTTTACACGGGGATTTTTGATAGACCACAAATGTTCATTATGTCTATTGAACATTCCTGAATTCGTGAATTTCGATTCGTTACCCGCCATATTACATTGTGATGAAAATCTGGACTTTCACGTATTCGATTCCACAAAAACCTGCATAATTTTAATCTGCGTTCCCTGTCTCCAGAATGAAGAGTTTGGTAGGAAGAATTTTGTAAGGATGATACCGTTTTTTTGAGTGTCCTCACTGATAAAAATACCCGATTGGTGACAAAAGAATGATGCTTTTAGATTCTTTTCTCTCCTGACAAAGACAATTTCTTCCTTTCAAATACATTGCTCTCATCTGCAGATTATTGCTGTTTTTGTAATAAGGTTTTGAATCTTTTGGCTGTAAACGCTTTTGAGAGGACATCATCGACCTTGTCTCTAGTCCTGCTTGGTTTGCATCTACCTCAAGATCACAAGACTTTGATACAAGATCTGAAATCGTTCGGTTGAGACCGTTGATGAGATCGAGTCCACCCGAGGTTAACCGAAAACATACCGACTCCGTTTGAGTCATGCGCAATGCATGGGTCGACCCCATCATCCTTCTTCTTCTGCATCGTGCCGAGTACCGTCCCGTTGCCAATGCATTTTAGCGGCCATATCTGTCGTGTAGCGTTGTGCTGTGGATCATGAGCGATTCAGTGGAGTTTGAAAAACTTCTAGATGCGTTGCGTTTGAGCCATATGATGCAAACATTTCAAGGTAAGTACCCACCTATACTTATTTCAGTAGATAGGTATTTCATCATCATATAAAATGTTTCATGTGTTATTTTATAAAATAAATGAGTTTTTTATCAATGGTTCTTTTTTTCAAGATTTCCACAATTCTTCGCCCAAGGATAAATAAGAAGCTAAAACAAGTTGATGGGATATTTTGATTTTCAAGTATATTTCAACCAATGCAAAACGTTTTTTCGTCAGAACATCAGAACTAAATCTAATATCAACAAACCAAATCAAGAAATCTCCAGAGAATTTGCATCAAGATCATATACATTTTGTTCCAAGACCATAAGATATTGCATCAAACATTTGCTGTATTTACAGCGAAGCCCTATATTTCAAACAATAATACCATATCTTTCATCTTAAATCTCATAACTTTGAAATGATATCTTAATGATTTTGACCAAAAATCATTGTTCATTATGATAAGTTCAGGGTATTTTGCTATAAACTCATATATCATTGGGCTAAAGAAATCATGGCAATTACCTCAACATTCCCCATAAGTTGGGAAAACTACGATTTTAAGCCAAAAGCATTAGTTATTAGGGCAAAACCAAAGTTTCTTGCCTCGAATTTATATAATTTCTTGCTAAAGAAACTTAGGCACTCGCCTCAAAGTTTTTGGAATATTGGGTCGAAATGTCCATGCATTCCGCCCTATTCAAATGCTTGGCGCCCTTGAGGTGAAGTCAAATTCCTTCAATCCAAGGAATCCTTTTTATCAGTGCTCCATACCGACTGGTGTCGTATATTCAATTGCGCTCCATTTTGTCCCGTTGATATGTGGCGATTTTCTTGGACCTTATGGAAAATATCTTAACTCAAATTCAATCTGGAAATTATAATTAACCGCCTGTAATATGTTCTCTTCATAGTCATCAGCTCTCTCGCCATATTCATGTCTGGGCCGCCGAAATGAACCATGTCGGCCCAGATTTCTATGAAGACCTAGGAAATATCCAATATTCAGTTAATGTCGTTCAGGAAAACGTTGTAAATATGTATCACTTGTTACTTGAACATTTCGATGACAAGCACAATAAATTTACAACATATCTCTCTGTTCTTCATTGGGAACTGACATTTCGCAATCTGAAAGAGTGAACTTCAAGCGTTAAAACTGTCCTGAACTGACAAAATTCGAAATCAACAAATTTGTTTCCATGGCGATCTTCTAAAAAATATTAATTAGGAAATTTCTACCATGATATGGAACCAAAACTTGTTGTGTAGTACATCGTCGGAATCAGAAAAAAAAGCTGTATTCAGAAATATAAAAATTCAATATGGCTTCTAAAAGAAAATTAAAGTTGACTGTCGTATGTTTCTTTCTCCGTGTGTTGAAAAAAATGTGATATCATCTTCGTATTCCTTGCAAAATTTGCTTCGAGAATGTTCCGGTTACAAATGGCTAACTCGATCGGTTTTCTCGCACGATTCAGTTTTTCGGCGATATCTTGAGAACTAAGAAAAACAGGTCAGTTTTTTTTTATTATTGTTCAGCACCAGAATGCGCAACTTTGCCCTAATTTGAGCAACATCGTATCTCTCAAGATAACTGAAATCCCCCGCGGAAGATGCCATAATTGCACTCACAAATAAAATCTATAACAGCTTGGACAATAAAAAACCCTCACTTTGTGTTTTTATAGACTTGGCAAAGGCTTTCGACACAGTGTGTCACGAGTCATTGCTGAGTAAACTTGAAAATATTGGTATTCGCGGACTGGCACTTGAACTGTTTCGAAGTTATCTCTGCGATAGGAAACAGAGAGTCAAAATTGAAAACACACTGAGTAAGGAGAGAATTGTGACCTATGGTGTCCCCCAAGGTACAGTCTTAGGTCCTATTCTCTTCACGATATATATCAATGACTTACTGGCTTTATCTCCTGCTAACATTATTTCCTATGCTGATGATACAGCAATATTCTTTGAGGGCAATACATGGATTGAGGTTCAGGAGGAGGCAAAACTACTTCTGAGAGATATTAAAATATGGCTTGACTCTAACCTTCTCACATTGAATCTAGAAAAAACCAAATATCTCCCGTTTGTATCATATAATAGCCACTTACCAAATTTCTCATCTATTCCTGTAGATGATAAAGATATTGAAGGAGTCACAGAAATTAAATATCTGGGTATCTATATCGATAGTTTCTTAAGATGGGATATACAGATAGAGAGAACTGTGAAGAAAATGAGAATATTGATGTATAAATTCAAAGTTCTAGGAAGATTCATGGAATTCAGACATCTCAAAACAGTTTATTTTTCACTTATAGAATCGATTCTTAACTATGGCATATTAGCCTGGGGTGGTGTCAAAAAAACTCATTTGAATATACTCAATATGTCACAGAAAAGAATACTCAAACTCATTATGAAAAAAGACATGAAATATCCTACTGAATCATTATACAATGAAGCTCAACTTCTCGATATAAGACAACTCTTCTGCAAAAAAATTTTGTTATATTTCTTCAATAACAGAACCTCTTTAGAAGCGCTGAATCACCCGTACGAGACGAGACAAAAATCCAAGAAATTATACAAACAAGACAAAGCTAATAAAAGCTGTGGCCAAAGATTTTATAAATACATTGGGCAGAGGCTATTCAACAATTTGCCAGAACCGATGAGAGAACCAATGAATTTCTTCACATTCAAAAAAAGAATATTCATATGGATAATGGAAAACAGAAGTTTTATCAGCTCATTACTAGATTCATAATATTGTTTTCTGATGAACCTTCGTGAGAATAAAAAAAAAAACAAATAAAAAATATGATAAGCATATATTATATTATTGTCGTTTATTGTCGTTTATTGTAGTTTTTGTTTTTGTTTTTTTTTTAATACTTAATGCAGTGTGCGTATCAATAATTTAAAAAATATATATATAATTTGTCAGATAAATTTTTAGGTGAAAACACAAATGGCACAAAGTCATGATTTGGAATATAAAAGTATCTGTTTCAGGTAATATGACTATTCGTAGACAAGCTCTTAAGCTTAAACGGAATCACAGTCATATTTATTTATAATCATAAATCATGTGCCGTCTCTAATATTGTCATATTTTGTTATATGTATTATGTATTATAAATAAATATATTATTATTATTATTATTATTATTATTATTTATTATTAAGCTCGAATTACGGGCACCCTGTATACGAAACCTTATGGCATCTTTTATGACAGCTAAATAGCCATGAAGTCATCAATTATATTGATTTTGATGTGTTTATGTCGATGTTTTCGATCATTGGATTGCACTTATCATGCAAAATCAAACTCGAATTCATATTGACAAGAATAAACTCAATAACATGATAATTCTTGGTTTTCCAAATATAATAAATAATGAAATGACATGTTACAGACAGGAGACACATTTTATCTAGGTGTTTTTTTTTTGCACTGGGACCAAACGCCCCATAAGTCGAAACTTGTGCGGGGTTAGGTAAGCAGACAAACACAAACATCCATGGCCTAACTAGGATTCGAACCTATGTCTCGGTGGGAGTCCCCATACGAACTCAGCGCCTTCACGCTCTAGACCACCGAGCCGCCGTTTTGGATCGAATGTTTATATTTTGAGCTCAGATTTTCATTGATGTAATATTCCAAAATAGTAATGGATAGCACACACTCGCCTAAGGTCATCCTCAATGTGTCGCCAAACGCCTGGAGAGGACGTTCTATTTTCTACAACCTAAGAACATCATCAGGCGTAAATTTAGCGCTGTAATTGTCCTAAATGAGTTCTTTCAGTGACAGCCTGAGGATGTAAAAAATTTCGTGCCTACGGACGTCTTCAGATGACGTTCCATGAAATAACGTGTCATCGAAGACACAAGGAAGAAAAAGAAGAACTAGAATTGAGGTTATGTCTCATGATAGTCATGATTTGTTCAAGATACATCATGACGCATCTCCGAGAGTTTCGATCACGTTTCGATCCTGTATTCCCAATCCATGTCATAGTAGTAGTAACCTAACAAGTAAGTGTATGTTATAGTTTATTGTCTAGAGGAATTATATAAATTATATTGACTTTTCAAAAATTTTTTCTTGGATACCTTGTAAATTTTTGAGATAAGACCTAAGTAAGGAGTATGGGGGACCATTCCCCCGGAGATCCTGGGGGAGGAGATCATGAAATAAACATTTTCAAAGATTTGATCAACAGATCACCAAACACAAAAGAAGCAGTCAACAATTTATTTAGATTTGCTAACAATTTCCAATACAATCCACAAAAATGTAATGATTTAATCTCTTTTATAAACATTGATGAAGATTTTGTGAAAGAATGTAATGAAGTTATTTCAGATGGATATTTTTTTAATGATGAGAAGGACTTGAAGGTCAAATTCCCGGCTAGAGTTAACATTCTATCAGACCTAGTTATGAAAAAGGCAAACAGTCAAGCAAACCGGCAAACGATAAAAAACAATGACAAAAAGGCAGTCAACAATTTATTTAGATTTGCTAACAATTTCCAATACAATCCACAAAAATGTAATGATTTAATCTCTTTTATAAACATTGATGAAGATTTTGTGAAAGAATGTAATGAAGTTATTTCAGATGGATATTTTTTTAATGATGAGAAGGACTTGAAGGTCAAATTCCCGGCTAGAGTTAACATTCTATCAGACCTAGTTATAAAAAAGGCAAACAGTCAAGCAAACCGGCAAACGATAAAAAACAATGACAAAAAAGGTGAAGAAGATACAATTATAGAATTGAAACGCCATAAAACTATTGATAGTCAGGAAGATAAAAATTCAAATCTGTCAGTGGAAAGAATGGAGGAGAATGATTTTGGAGAAATTGTAGAAAAATCTGGTTCCCAACTTTCGGAACTTAAATATGATAGGATGGATCAAGGCCCATTCAATATTTATATTGAATCAACAAATGAAAACATTGGATACCTGTCTAACCTTTCAGTAGGGAAAATATTCCATCAAAATTCTTGTTATAACCCATCTTCCATTGAAAGAAGAGGTAAAAATAGACTGATGATAAATTTTAAGGAATTAGAAGAGGCAAATGAACTCCTTGAGGATAACCATTTTTTATCTTCTAACAATTTCAAAGCCTTCATCCCGAATAACTTGATTACATCAAAGGCAATAGTGAAGGATATTGATACCATTTTTTCAGAGGAAGAAATTAAAAATAACATGGAAACTATTGATAACAGGAAAATTATACACATAAGAAGACTAAAGAAAAAAGTTGTATCAGATTCAGGTATACAATATAAAGATATCCCTGTAATCTTGATCACTTTCAGAGGGAAATTTATTCTAAGTGAAGTTTATATATACTCTTGTAGCTTTGAAACCTTAAATTATTACTCTCCCGTAATACAATGTCATAACTATTTAAGATACGGCCATACTAAGACTCAGTGCAAAGGTAAAATAAGATGCCCTATATGCTCCGAAAATCATGACATGGATAATTGCATTAAAACTCAACTAAGCTGTTTGTTTTGTGGAAAGGACCATTCAACAAACGAACTAGGAAGAAACTTTGAAAATAGAGTATGTCCAGAATTCCACCGTCAAAAAAGAATAAAAGAACTGATAGGAGAGAGAAATATTACCTTCTTTGAGGCTTCAAAGCTTGTTCCTAACATTTCCAAACCAAACGCTCCAAATGTAAGTAGCCAATTTAATTTCAACATTAACAAATTTCCAGAATTACCAGAAAATAAGAGTATAAATTCACAAAAATTAAACGAAACGACCCCTCGATCAAGCTTCAGGGGTACAGTAATGTAACCAAAAGCACAAAATATTCCATTAGTAAACCTAGTAGTTCAAAGGCAAATCATTATAGCAGAAAAGGTAAAAGAACCTACGAAGGGGAGCATGCGGAAATCCTGTATAGCCCAAACGGGCATATTAGGGAATCCTACTCTATACTGCACCCTTTAGCAGGCCTCCTAATTCTCAACCTGAAACTTCGGGTAACCAAAAACAAAATTTAAGGGATCAAATAAGTAACATATACTTCAGTCAACCCGAAACCTTTCTTGAAATTATTAGGGAATTTATGCCCACAGATGACATTATTTTTGAAAATCCTTTACGCACCTTTCCGAATCAGGAAACAAGATAATGGAATCATTAAAAATCATTAACTGGAATATAAGAAGTTTCAATTCAAACAAAAATAATCTTTTGAAATTAATAGAGGATAGTAATCCAGACGTAATATTTTTATCAGAAACCTGGATAAAACCAGGAAATTATATCACAGTAAACCCATATAAAGCTATATCACATGACAGAGATGATGGAAAAGGAGGATCGGGAATTCTTCTGAAGAACTCAATCAAATTCGATATTCTGAAAATAAATTTTCAAATCCCATATAGGGTTAATATTGTGGGAGTGAGAATAGGTGACATAGAAATGTTTTCGATTTACATCCCGCCTGATATATCGGTTGATGAGATATTCTGGAAGAACTGTATTGAAAATCAAAAATTCATAATATGTGGAGATTTCAACTGCCCTCATAAAAATTGGGGTAACTCTGTTAACAACAGAGGAGGAATTGTGCTAAATTCTCTGATAGACGATGGATACATGACTATAAATAATGATAATCAACCTACAGTATCAACTTTGCATTCTAAAAGCGTTATAGATTTGGTAGTGTCTTCACCTAACTTATTCAATGATGTCGAATGTAATACTCTGGAGGACACCTACGGCTCGGATCACTTTCCAATACAAGCAGAAGTAAGGATTAATTGCCCTAATATATTAAATACTTCTTCAAACCTTCCACATAATGAGATAATTTTTAATTACAAGAAAACTGAATGGACTAAATATGAACAAATCATTGAATCATTCAATATCAATTCATATAAGGATTTCATTGATGCAATAAATTTTGGTTTTTCTCAAAGTACTCGTAAAATAAACAATACAAATAAATACAATAATGTACTAAAACCACCATGGTGGGATGACGACTGCACAGAGGCTATAAAGAAAAGGAAAGAATTGTTTAAGAGATACAAAGAAAATGCTAACCAAGAAAATTTCATAGAATTAAAAAAAGAAATTGCCAAGTCGAGGAAAACTTTTAAAAAGAAAAAGAAAGAATCATTCAAACAATTTACCGAAACATTGTCTAGAGAAAGCAATATATCCACAGTTTGGAAAAATATCAGAAGATTTTCTAGACCTTTCAATGCCCCCCCTAATAATACTCCAAATAACATAGATAACGACATATTATATGAATCACTTCTCGATAAATTTGCTCCTCCTGATATACAAAGACCCCCAATCTTGATTGACGAAATTGAAATTAACAAAGATATAAACTACACATTTACAGAAAGAGAAGTAAAATGTATAGTGGAACGATTGAAAGACTCTGCTCCAGGAAAAGATAAGATCTCATACAAAATGATAAAATATCTTCCGAGAAACGCATTCAAATGGTTAGTAACTTACTATAATGACATTTGGCTAAATGGTTCGGAAATTCCAAACGAATGGAAAGATATTATATTAATTCCTATTCTTAAACCAGGGAAAGATCCAAATAATTATTGCAACTACAGACCTATAGCTTTGACATCCTGTATAAAAAAAATTTTTGAACATCTAATTAAATACAGACTTGAATGGTGGATAGAGCATCATAATATCTTTCCCGAGAACCAATTTGGATTCAGAAAAGGAAAGGGTACAATAGATGCAATGTTTAATTTTCATTTGGATATCATATGTGGTTTTCTGAAAAAAGAAAGTACGGTTGCTGTATTTTTGGATATCCAGTCTGCATACGATAACGTCATTCCTGAAATATTAGCTAAAAACTTGAAAGAATTAGGAGTAAATAACAATGTGATAAATATTATTTTTAACCTAACTCATGAAAAAAACTTTTATATAAGGGACAAAAATCATAAATTATGGGGACCTAGAAAA